TGTGAATTTTGTTTGTTACAGAGGTCTGGGAGTGCCTACTTGACATCAATTGAAAGAGACAGGTATTAACCTGTATGTTTGAAATACAGCGTGTTGTTATTGCTCTCAGATAAACAGAATTACCTCCTCTTAAAATCAAAGGTAATCTGTTTTACTTCAGTGAGATGTGGTGATGTCCACAGAGAACAAATCATTTTTGGCAAGTGGAGGAGGGATTTTCTTGGCAAGTTGGAAAAAGCATCAAAGGAAGAGAAGAGGGATGGGATGCAACACAACTGGTTTTAATCACACATAACAGTCAAGTTCCTCTGGACAGGCCTACTGTCTGATATGCCATTGTAAACGCTCTGGGGAGCCTGGATTAAGAGAATGGAAAAAACAAGTGAATGGCATAAAGGTACTCAGGGCACTCCGTGGAGTAACTGGCAAAGCTTTTGTCAGTTGGCATTATGCAGTGATACATTGCTCCCACTAATGTAGTGCCCCAGTACTGTGACTTTGATTTTTAATGGGTGTTTGGTTATCCGAGTCCATGCCTTTTTCTGGTTTTGACACTCACAGTTCCTCAGATCACACTGCACTTCTGTTTGACATTAACAATGAAGATGCTGAATTGGTTATAACAAGGATGCACTTTCATTCCCACTGTACAACCACCAGGGAGAGGGGAGACTCTCTTATTTCAAGCCAGTTCAGCTCTGAGGTGGTCTGAATTGCTCTGGAGGTGCCAGTTTCTTCGTCTTGCCTGCCAAAGAGCCTAAGGTGGCTGCTCCCTAGACCAGGCACACTGCAAGTTGCCTGAATGGATGGGATTCGTTTGGAGAAAAAGAGCTTGGGCAAATACTTCTTGGCAGGACTGTTCCTCTTGAAATGACTGTTTCCTCTGGAAATTGCTGACTTGTTTAATTAAATTTGGGGGCAGGGAATGTACTGATTTTATTAGCGTATTCTGTAGGAAACTAATGTTTCATTTCAACTATTACAATACTACATAATGTATTATATTATCATCTCACATAACATGTCAGTTTAGACTAGATTATATAAACATCCAAACAAGAAAGTCAAACTAAAAATATTTTATATGATCATTTCAGTGTTTCTGAAATAAAATATTTTAGAACATCCATTCAGCAATATGTTTCAAAATGATGGCTCTCTTTTCCAATTAGGAATGAAAGGACATTTGTAATGTCTGAGTTGCCTTCGGAACACGAACAGCTTGAGCTTTGATGGTTGCTGGAGCTGCACAGTTGGGATCACTGTTCAGACTGCTGTAATAATTGCTTCCTCACATTTTGTTCAGGTTGCAGTAGCATTTGGGGGCTACTGTCAGGGCTTGAGGATCAGGGCTTGAGGATCTGTTTTGCAAGGAACCTCACATTCATATAATAAAGAAAATACTTGGCCTTCAGTCACACAGAATGGAAGCACTGGACCTGATATGGGGAAACCAAGCATTACCAAGAGCTTTGGTGGTGACATGGCAGAAGTGGGCTTTACTGCACTTTGGCTAAGCATTTATGTGAGTAGTGATTGCCTGGGAGAAACACCTGATTGAATGACTAATGGGGTATTTCACTAATTACCTGTTGGTGGTGAAGGAGGGCTTGAGCTTGAAGGACCCTGAATGTTCCATGAACCTTGCCTCAGCCAGGGTCTTCATCTTGGATTAAATTTCTGGTAACGTCAAGATCGGGAACAAGTCTTAAATGAGCACCAAGCAAATGGGATTCAAACTCCCACTGCAATCTGATGAGCTAAAGACTTCTTTAAATGCATGGTTTAAATAACCTGGAAGTTGAGGCAGAGCAACTGAGCTGATTATCCAGTCTTTGAATACCAAAGAGCAACTGATACATAGATGATTTCTAAGCAAGATCTTCTGTTTGAAATCTGTGATTCATTATTATTATTATATACTCTGATAAAGTCCAGAGAGCCCCGAACATTTAAGCCAAGAATGGCCCTTACCCAAATTCATGAACATTTAAGGGTGGCCTACAGTGGTTGACTGGGAGTTCTTGAATTAAAATATACCTTGGAAAAGGAGGAAACCAAAATATTATTCAGTCTGCAGCAATCTCATGTATTTAAGCCCGTGGAGGGCTTGTGTTTCTTTACTCTTGAGGTTCATTATGTCACCAGAAAAGCTTTAATATTTTACTGTGGAAGCAACATAGCCATGAAACATTAATTTCCAGGAATGTGGAAACCATGAAATATGGGTTTTTCTACTCAATTAAGATTTTACTTGTCTCTGGTCCCACATAGTTAAGGCAACCAATTTTCATTATACATTTATGTATATGTATTCTGGAAATTCAAATAGGAAAGATGTACAAAATACGGGAAGAACATTTTTACCTTGAAAAATGTATTTCACTGATAACAATACCAGTCATTTATATTCTGCCTTTTATCCTAAACCACTTTACATTCTATGTCCATCTTGGAACCACGTCTCTCATTACTGAACTGCACCCACGCTGGTGTGTAAGTGAACAGCTGATATATTCTGCCCTTTGAGATGTGGCAGCTGTTTAGATTTGTATAAAATTGTTTACTTCCCTATTTCCGCAATGCCGTTCTCTCACCATTGTAGTGACCAACACCATTCAGATATGCCTGGCACAGACACGATTGTACTAGGATCTCCAGCAGTCCCCAAGTATTCTGCACCATGGCAGACGTCTCTGGCTGGAAGAAAAAATGGTGAAGGACAAATTAATTTGTAATCCACGTAAAGGCCTTTTAAATATTCTCCTGTTATTGCTAACCAGTGTTACTAACTATAAGACTGATGCCTCTTTCCTGTAAAACAAGTGACTAGGTTTCCTTCAGATATCTGCACATACTCATACGTACACAAAGACCATACCAGCTTTTAGCATCCTCGGCAGAATGAGAGCATTGTAGTGGCTTAAAAGGAATTTGAAGCACTTAGTTCTGGGGGCAATTCTAGAATGTAAGTGTTCACCTAGGGTTTTTAATAGTTATATACTAAATTTACGTCCATCACCAGTTGATTAGAATGGAAGAATTAGCCAAAACATTCCAGAAGCATCTGTGTCATGGGAACCATTGGTTTCTAGGTTATATGACACGCCAGAATATTCACCAAATCACCAGGGTTGTTCTCCTTAATGCTACAATTAGTGATGGTACGTTAAGAGAACAATTACTGGATAAGATCTGACGGCAGGAAGCCCTCTGCCATAAATTGAAAATCCTCAACATATGCAACCATATTGCTAGAGAAGATGAGTTATGCAATTAAAAACCAAAACTGGAGAATTGTTATCAAAGGATGGCAAAGCATACTAAAATCCAGCTGAGAGGTTCCCTGATCTTGTTATCTTCAGGCTTCTATGTGAGTTAATCTAACACAGATGACAATATTTGACACAGACAATTGTGCCTACAGTCATGTGGAGGATGTTTTATAGAACCCCTTTCCATCAGAACATGGAGGTTTGTCATAATGCAATCTTTAAAAAGTCTGGTAAGTTTTGCCAGAATTGCATTTCAGGGGAATAAAACATGATAATAATTCTGACAGTCAGAACAGTCCATTCTAACATTATCATTAATTTCTAAAATTTTGAACAAGCCATATTTAATTTGCTTTTTACTGCATTTCATAATATTTTAAGCGCAAATTATTTTAAAAGTCCAAGTCAAAAGAAACATTTGATTTTGTCTGAACGAAAAATTTTAATCAACTTGGAAAAGTCTGTGGTTGTGCGGCTTTCCTTCATAAAGAATTTCAAAATTCTCCCTTCTTGTCCTCATTCAGAATGAAGCAGAATTTCTAATTCTGAATTTTTTTGCAAAATGAACTTCTGTCCTCCCACAACACTTTCTGTGCCTATATGAAGAGGACAAGAAGCTTAATGTGTAATTTCTGTGAGCCTTAAGGAGATGGTATGTGTGTTAGTATTTTCAAATCCAGGCTTATACAGCTGCTGGTTGAATATAAATCATAGATGCTTTTGGGTTACACTAACACCCTCTGCAGTTTAGTACAGTTGTTAATTAATACAATACTGTATTAGTTCTTCTTACAGTCGTACTATTAACACCCCATGAAATCCCATTAGCTCTGCATATGGTGCCAGACTCGTTCTGAATGTGGGAAAGAAAGAAATTTACAGTGGTATGAATAATAAAGAGAAGCTTTCAAGTGGTTTCCACTATGAACATTTTGAAAAAATATTTTCCAGAATGTAATTTGTGGGGCAATCTTTTCACAAAATTTCAATGCAAATGTGCATATATTTGTCATCTAAGTTTTCCCCTGGAGTGCGAAAACCCTTACGCACCACTATTGTTCTATGGCAGAAACATTAGGAAGATAAAGTAGTTCCTAAAAATGGAAAATTAACCAGGTTGCCTTATTGCCCAAACTGACAGAAATGCAAAAAAAGAAATAAACTACATAGCTGATGCCAACAAATGGATAAAACTTTCCTTACATTTTTGGTTTAAATATTTTAAAGTACAGATAGTGATGACAGTCAAAATTTGGGTTAGGTTTTCCAGAAGTTATCTGAATTTCCTGCTTCAGTGATCTGACAGATCCTTCTTAAATTCCAAGAAGATTTAAGTGCCATAGTAAAAACCAGGCTTATTTGTTAACACCTCCTATGGAACACTCCAAAATGTATTAGCCACTACAGAATCTTCAGACCTAATTGTTTTCTATTAGTTGAGTTTTGTCCAGTATTGAGTGCTTAATGAAAGAGAGATCTGACAAGGAGCTGTTAGAAAGGCTTTTAAAAACGGAGAGAATGATGAAGTAGGCAGGATTTAGAAGCAGACTATTCCCTGGAGAAGCTGGCTCAATTGTAATTCTCTCCCGATTCTCCAGGAGTTGCTGCCCTAGAGTTGTAGTAGTAGCAGTGCAGTGCATGGTTAGGAGGATTCTAGTAGATGCTTTTCTCCTTCCCAGTCCTGCGGTTCATCCATAGTGCAGTCTCTGCAGTCTTACTATGCAATCAGGAATGGCCAGGGCCTTTCTGCATGGCCAACATCCAGACAGGGACACACTGCTCAGGGAATCCCTCCTGCCTCTCCTCTCGTAGGATGGTGAGTCCACTCATTTCAATGAGGCTGTGGAGGATGTTCAGGTCTCTGATCACACTACTATCCAGGCAATCCAGGATACAGCCCTCCCTGGCTACATTGTCCTTGAGAATGATAACACCATTATCCTTCAAGCCATTCTGGCACCGGATGAGAAACTCCAGGAGATCTTTATCTGTCAGATATCCTACAGATGAAAAGATGGAAAATAAGATCACTATTAACCATTCAAACAGACTCCCCCTGTACACATCAGAATGCTGCCTTGATCTGAGTCTCCATACCCTATCTATTGCAGGAGAAGTTCTAGTCCTGCCAGATTAAATTATGAAATCTTGGGCAAATCAACAAGAACAACAGTTACAAACTCAAATCAATATTTAGGATCCATATTAGTAGTAGCAACAGATGTGGACAGAAGTCAATGGGAATAGTGGAGAAAATACTGGGTGCTGAAGGGTTCTTTAATCTGGTGGTTAAAGTCATAATAAGAATCAGTGGCAGGAAGCTGGAGCCAAACAAATTCATATTGGAAATAAGTGACAACTGTTTAACAGTGTAAGTAATTACCCATTGGAAACTACCAACAGAAGTGGTGTTTACCACCTCTTGAAGTCCTCAAATCAAGCGTGGTTCAATTTCTCAAGATATGTTTTAATTGAAGACAAACTATTGGCTCAGTACAAGGGTAAAGGAATGAATATAACAGCTTGTGATATAGAGTAGGTCAAACTAGGTAATCTAACAGTCCCTTCTGTCTTTTAATGCTACAAATCTCTGTAACTTTGTGTAACACTACATACCCATCAAACGAGTTCTGGATCAAAGATCCAGTGAGGAATGCAAGGCCTTCCAAACTGCCAAATAAACTCTTCATATTCCCCCATACTGTTGTGATTTCTGCATATACCATATATGTTTAAAAATAGTACTTTTTTCAATATGTTATTGAGATTATGTTTCAAAGATCAATGCTTCTGTTATGTTGAGATCAGCAGTGCAGGGCTCAGAGAAGAGCAAAATGAGAACTCTCACATGTGAAACATCTAAAATGGATTAACAAGGACAGGTGGTCAGAAACTGAATGAAAAACTTGAAAAAAATAATCGTTTGTATTTTCTAGTCAAAATATTTAGTTTTCTTGATGGAAGATTTAAACTTTTATAAATGGAAGTTGTCATTTCAAAACCACATTTTGACATAGCATGTCAGGTTTCTTTAACTACCCCCCAAAAAAAAGAAAAAGAAAAAAGCCCCAAAGTCTAAAGCTGAATACTTTTCAAGTTGAAGGAAAATGGTAATTTCTCTATGAAATGTAAACTTGCATTTTTATTTTTTCATAACATAACAGCCTGGGCTCATATTTATGCATATATAAGATTGCATCAGCAAGATTCACTGAAGCTTTTGAACACCTAATTTGGAACTTAATGTTCTCTTAACTTAGCTTTTAGCCTAGTTTCCTAAGAAAATCAGATCTTCATGGTGTTGCTCTCTACCAAATAGTCCTCGCTCCACCAAAAAGCATTGAGCTTGTTGGCATATTTCAGCCAAATTCAAGATAGGGGTAGAAGTTTGATTAATACTTAAGATCACTACATATTTCATTGAAATTGATGGAGGAAGGAGATTCAGATCTGTGTCTATGCTAAAGAAAAGGCATATGCTCCCTTCGTTAGGAGCCACATAGCTGATCAGCACAGCCTCAGGCAAGTCTTAGCCAATCATGTTGCCTCGGATTTCCTCAAAAGATGAGGCAGAAGCTACATTTACTGCAATGACTGGTTATTCAAGAAAAGCAAAAATACAAAGGAAAATGATACCGTTCTGAAGCAATTTACTTGTACAGCTATAAAGACCTGTTCTAAGAAGCTCAGTTTCATTACTTTTTAAGACTATGTGTAGAGGACAAATAAGTGTTCCTGAATAAAACCATCTCCTGCGCTAATCTCTCTACTTTTATCTTTCTTTTTGCCTAGCAAGAAACTATCGCCAGGGTTTTGGAGAGAAGGAGTTGCTCAGGCCTCCTCCTGTGCTTTAGAATAATGACTTCTGCCAGCTGAAACTGCACCATGGACACTTAGGTTCACAGATTAGGAGAAAACCTCCTTTCTGGAAGGACAGTTAGGCACTGCAGCAGGTTTTCTAGAAAAAATTAAGAACTTTTTTTTTTTTGTTGAGGAACATAGCCCATATTATCTGATTGCCAGCCTGCTGCTCTTAATGCTGCACGGCATTCACTGGGGTGGCTGCAGGAGAAGCAGCATATATTTCTTATATGAGGGGGTACTGTGGGACATGGCTAAGTGAACCTGTTTGATAAGCATCAGTGCATGTATAAGACATGATCTGGTTTATAGGTACTGGTAATTTCACTATGGATTTTTTCAAATTATTTCCTGAAATACCCCCAAGTCTGGATAATGATCAGATTCAGAAATCCCAGCTCACAGGTGAGGCCAAACCCGTGTATCTGTCTGCAGTGCTGGCAACTAAGGAGGATTCCTGCTCAAGAAAACCCATATAGAAGGCGTACTCCTCAGCTGCACCTTAGCGTGCAGGCTACTCTCCAAGAACATGTGCCTTCCTCCAGTACGTGACCTGAAAAAAAAGAACTTGATTTGTACCCACTGTGCATGTGGCTGGGGAGAACTCTCAGAAGTCTCTTGTGAGATTTTAGGTAGCAGTCCCAAAGATTTGAGAACCTCCTTTTACAGGTGCACCATTCTTTTAACATAAACCTTAGCACAGGCTGTGTGAGAATTCTCTGAGATGCTGGGCTGGATAAATCATGCTGAACTAACCTGAAACCCACTGAATCCAGATGACATCATATCTTTGTGGGGCTGGAGTGAATTCCTGGAGGCTTTTGCAGTAATACATCTCTACTCTGTCCTCCTTGCCCTGCAGGTAGTTCGGGACCTCAGCCAGGAAATTCTCCATCATATCCACCAGTTCCACGCTCTTGAAAACTGGTAACAGGACATGCTTGCTGATACGACCTATCCCAGATCCGCAGTCCAGGGCGCGGGTGGTACCAGCTTTCCCCACTCCCTGTGGGATACAAGAAAATAATTTGAAATCTGAAAAATACCACCGAAAGATCATAGCAACTGTGTTACCCGCTATGGCCTTTAGTCCACCAAGCCTAGTGTCTTGTCTCCTTATTTGTGCAGGGCTGTTGCAAGATTGAGAAGAACCTGGGACAGTCTCAATACAGCTTTGGGTACCTATGTGTGAGCTGAGCTGGGCTGCTAAGTTCCCAGGCTGCTGTTGATGGGACTTCCTCGTTGCAGCCCTGTATTTATTGCTGTACAATAAGTTTTTGCTTGGTATAAGAAGAGACATAATCTTTTACAAGCTCCTAGCTTTCTCAGAAGATCCACTGGTCTTTGTAAAGTCCTTGTAACTTCATCTGTCAAATATTCATACCTCACAGCCAACTACGTGGCTAGATAAGCCTCATTCTGAGCCTTGTAAAGGCCTAACAAAAAAGTAAGCATACACCAAATACTACATGCAAGAAGTAACTTCTGCAGCACAGAACTCCCAAGGTGCCCATGGACATCTCTGCAGATACACAGCATCCTTGGGATCAGAGTGCAGTTTTCAAAACAAGCTGTGTTTGAATGAAGATCTTGGAGTTGTAGGTAACTTACGACAACTCAAAAAGTTTGGACTGGAGCATATACAAAATTTCTTTTTTAGGCATAGAGACAAGAAAGATGATTGAGTAGATTTTGCTTAACTGTTCTTTTTTTCTTCATAAACATCATCTCTGGACAGAGATCAGACATGAAAAAATGTGGCACAAAGGCTATGTCTATGAGAAAATAATGAGTCACTGTAAAAGGAGCTTTATAATGAAAGCTGTATTTCACCCCTAAAGCTTCCATTCTAGCTATAAAAAGGCTCTTAAGAGCCTGCTGCTCTTCTGTAAAACAGAAATTTTAAGTCTGTACATGCACTGACTGTGGGATTGGAGCTCCCCTGGCCAAAGTTATCTGTTAAACAAATATATTAAAAGCAAATGTAAACACCTTTCCCCTGTCCCCTGGAACTGAGAGTTGAAGTGAAAGCTATGGGCCAAAGTCCCTGCTGCAACTTCACTGCTCTTAAAGGAAGTAAGAGTCTTGCTCTTCCTGCTTATTGGGGGACCCCCTCGGTAATGACCAAGCATAAATCACGTAACTCACTGCTTTTTTGGCCTTGCTTCAGTGGGTAAGTCAGTAGATTATTAAGGTCAAATACCATCAATGACATGACTATGAATAGCCCAGCTGAGCATCTGGTTACATAGAGTAACTGTAGAAAGAGCACAAGGACCTCAAAGGCTCTCACCAATCTCCAAGGCTGCTGGTCCCGATTTGTATACCTAGGAAGATTAATCTCCCGATGTGTGCAAGAGTCCACAAGCCTTCAACCCTATTGGACTCTGGAGACTACCCTACCTGTTTGTAGTTAGCCAGAAAATGTGAGCCATTCTTCATTCACAGGCTGCACTTAGGAGCATGTGGCTTTTACTGAGGACCAGACTAAACTGTAACGAGGAGTTCATGAAACGAGAAGGAATTGTGTCTTGGATCTTTACAAGGTGGATTTCCATATTGTTTGCTGGCGGATATATACAGGCCTACACTGATGTGATTAAGTAAAAATCTTTTGAGAAAGCTGGTGAGAAAACCGTGATGATTTACCAAAACAACTAACAGAATTCGACAAAAAACCATATAACTTCTTTGACATTTGTGTTTCAGAGAACCTGTAGTCACAGTACTTCACTCGAAACAGGGAATTCATCTCCCATGATGCGTCACAGCAAGGACCTCTGATGACACATCTCCATTTGCCATCGAGAAGGCAAGGGAACAATCGTGGGAGATGAAGCTTGATCCCACACTTTGCTGAAAGGGAGAAAGAGCATCAGGCAGTCAGCTGAGAAGCCCTGTGAAGCACCACGGCTCCGTTTGTAATGAAAATGTTGACATAATTCCATGTTCAGCTAATATATTTTCCGTTTGGAAGTGCTCAGAGCTTTGACAGGGCATTAACATTTTCTTTGGAAGGCAATCATTTTCCCAAAAGCCTAATTGAGTTGAAAATCAGACTCCTTATTTAAAAAAGTAGTGTAAGTGAAAATTTTAAGCTAGAAAAGGCTTCAAAATTTAAGATTGACTGCTCGTCTGATTACCTGCTTCCCATTACTCAGAATCACTATCAATTAGGACACATACACACCCAAAAATTCTTCTGTAAAGCTAAATAGGGCACTCACAAATTTCCTTAGAGATAAAAGAGCTGTGGAATATGTTCCTGAAGCTACTTCAGGTCTTGGAAGGGCAAGAAGGCAGTGTAGATATGTAGGATAAAAAAGAAATCAGAGTTCAAGAAATAGATAAAAATCACAGTGGTTTTCTTTCTAAATAAAAAAAAAAAAAAAAAAATTCAGGTTTTCAACATCTCTTCCACCCCCCTGATCAAACAGGAGAAAAATCACTTTCGAGAAGCTTTTCATTCAGCAAGTAACCAATTAGGCAGGTGAACTGAGGGCAAGAAAGAGAGTAAGGGTTTAGGGCAGAAAGAGAGCTATAAAGTTAATATAATCCCCGTCCATATTATTTCACATACCTATAGCTCACAACTGTTCCTGAATTAATGGTTTCTTTGTTTTCTTTATTTCTTTTTTTACACATTACCTCCGGACACTGAAAACACAGTGTCTATGTGAACATCAAGGTTTTAACTGGCATTAATACATTGCCATAAATATGCAGTGCTATAGCTCTGCTGATAAACCTTCAAGTATGACTGTACCTAAGACAGCCTATAGCTTGTCTGTACAGCACTGTTGGCTCAAGTAATGTTGCTCTTGGTTTGAGTTCTGCCCACACACACATAAAACCTCTTAACCTGAGTACAGTGGCACTTTTAACTCAGTTTGACTCGCCTGGGAAGGAGACAGGCTAAAAAGTAAGTGAAGTCCTTAGTCCTTTCTGTAATTCCTTCCATGTGCCCAGGCAAGATAAATTCTCCAATGGTAAAGAAATCTGTAGCTCAGTTTACAGTGGTGCTAAGAATCATGCTAAGAAATGCCATACATGAAGGTATGCAACATCAGTCATGTAAGGGAAATGTCACTGTGTGGCATTTCCACACCAGCCAAACTAACTCAAGAGGGGTAATTTGAGTGGAACTGGGCAACTGGTTTTTTAAGGAGCACTAGTTTTGCCAGAAAATAAAATTTTGGAAGAATAAAACTCTCTGTGAAATTGATATTTCAAAGCTAGAGAATAGTTATAGCCAAAAAACATGGGAAAGAATGTTGAAAATGTCAAGATACTTCTTTTTCTCGACTTTCAAGGAAAAGAAAATAACTTGTCAACTTTTCATTTCTAAACAGCATTTTTCCTTTTGGAACTGACATATCTTGAAAACAAAGGGAAAAGTTTTTCAGGGTAAAACAGTAAAAAAAATTAAGTGAAATATGTTAAGTTGATCTCAAACTAATTTTCCTATTTTCTGGTTTTTTTAAACTTCTCTTTAAAAAAGAAAGTATAGTTTATATTAGGGTGAAGCAAATTGCTTTTTTTCTATCTTGATCACCTTATCGGAAAAAAAATTATCCACAGAGCCATAAACTTGGGAAGACATAACTCAAATTAGCTTTACAATAAAGTCACTACTACAGGAAGCCAGAAAATATCTGTAGCTCGAGTAGGATTCAAATTGCAGTAGTAAGAAAGGAAAATAAACCATAAGTAACATAACCAATTGATTGTATCTCAACAGAGGACAGGCTTTAACAAACTAAATCAGAACTAGCAAAACGTGCAGATTCCTTTCTGTTCCTTCTTTTTTTCTTGTTTGATCTTGGCCATTCAGAGTATCCTTTCTATCCCTGGCTAATAATAGGAGTAGGAACTCTGCTCTGGAGTATTTTGTATCTGTCATCACACCTGATGCATTGGGTATGATTTCTCTTTGGCATGTGAAACTCTGCTACCGACTGTACTTCTTTCCTTTTCGGGTCTTGGAGATGAGAAAGTGTAACAGTGTGATATAAACCTGCCGTTCAGGAAACTGAATCTATATGATGTCTAGGAAGCGTGAAATCTTTCCCTGAGTACATGCTTATGCACCACTTGAATGCCACAAATGTCCTTAAAACAAGATTTAAGTAAAATTTAAGGAATATGCCTTGAGCTGGCTCTAGGCTTATAAGTTGCATTTCATTTTTTCTGAAAATGCCATTTTACCATCAGGTTCAGCTGCTTTGCTGAACTTCCTTTGTATTTTCTCATTCTGTGTTTGTAGAAAGCCTGATACAGCGAAGCTTGGAAATATTGTGAAGCCTTTTTGCATTAGCATTAATACAAATGACTGTTAATAAAAAAAATGTAGCTGTTGACTTGTGTTTTGCTGGCTCACTGCCCCAAAAGCCTCCCTCTATCAGGTACAGCAAACTGCCGTCAGTTGCCCTTCACTGCTATACAGGATTTCTATCTGTTGTTAAGCCACGCTCATTTTCCATCCCAATCCATTTAAACTGTGCCCTTTTTTATACACAACATCTAATTAACCTATTGAGCTTTTTTCCCACAGTAGATCATTAAGACTAAAAAAAGGTCATCTGGCTATCCCAAATTTGTACATTTGGGCAGAAAATGAAAGATCTACGGTAGCATTACATAGAACTAGTAATTTTGTGAGCAGGAGAACTTATGAAATTTGGTTTCCTGTAGCTTTGTGGATTCTTTAGCATCTAATACTGTTGTTGAGCTAATTTAGTGGGCTCTTCCCCTGGGAAGAGGGAAGGGCAGTCAGAAAACCATCAGGCCACACTTTTAAAGATTTGCAGATTCCCAAAGACACGTTTAGGCATCAACAGGATTTTCAGAAAACTAAGTCCCAAAGTGATATTGCTATTGTAGGTGCTTTTAAAATCCCACTTGGCATCTCTTTGCACCTCTGCACAGGTCAAAGCAGACCTTTGAAGATGTTTACAGACCTTTAGAAATCTGCCTGCGAAGGTCCCTAGTGACACTGGAATGTTCAAGAAAAAAATATTTTTCCTAATGGGTAGCTTATTCTATATACTCTTAATGTTTGGGGAGGGGGGGCACACAGGGAGGGCTGGGTTTTGTTGCAGCATTCTCAGAAATATCTATAAATAGGCAAAACAGAAACTTGGCATTTAGTCTCAGCTACTTTCCCAAATGTACTGCAGGAATTTGCACAGACAAATCTCCCACTGAAGCCAGCAAGGATTTTATCATGAAAGGTCCCAGTCCTGCACTGAGAATTAATCTCCCACCCAAACACAGCTGTAAGAACTCCTTGCACAATCCTCTTTGAAGCTTTGAAGCATAAGAAAAGGATGCAAAACAGGTAAATAACGACATATGGCCAGGTAAAATGTGTACTCATGATGATGCATGACCTGGCAGAATACATTAGTAGACCCAATGACAGTCAGTTATGACCTGTGACTGCAGATCAAATATGACATATGGTGCCATTTAAAATATATGTGACCAGGTGCAGTGCATGTCATTTATGACACATCACCACTGTTTCTTGCAGAAGACAGGATTAAATGACTCACCCCAACAAATTTCCTGAGAAACTCCCTGGAGGATTCAATGTCTGTACTGGAGAGCTCAATGTAGTCTCCCATCATGCCCTCTTCTGTGGCTGGCACCTCCCGGTAGAAGTGTTTGGCCCTGGCGTAGAACTGCATCTCGCCATTGATAACTTGACTTGTCAAAGCGTAAAGTTTCACTGCAAGCAGATAAATCACTATTTTATTGTTAATGACAGATATTTCTGGTTTAATTTATTGCTCTGGAGGCACGATGGCCAAGATCTATAAACTTAAGTTGAGCCTTCAAATCACCAAACCTCTGTTTCTAAAGCAAAGGTGGAAGGAAAGGTGTTGGATTTAATCCTGCAAGACCTTGAAGAGACACAGCCCCCCTTAGGCAAATTCAGTGCCTCCCGGGCTCAGACATCGTTTTTGTCATCACACTATGTTTTCACATCAGTGAAAAATCATTTCAAGTTTGAAGTGAACATGCATGCCAAAGAGAGCAAGGGGTTTGATTTGCTCCCAGAAAAGCTCTGGGCGGCATTTATTGCTATGCAGGGTCATCATTTCTGCTATCACAAACCTAACTGTTCTGCAGATTTCCGTAGATGCTTTATAGCCATTGACAGCGGCGTGGAGAGTGCACCAAGAAGAGAGTGAATGAATGAGGCACTTGCTCTGGTTTATTTTTAGTGATACTGTACAGTCTGTGGCACTGCAAGTAAGCTGAACCAAAGAGCAGATGGTAGTCTTGGGCCTAAATGAGTATCTGGGGAAAGACAATTTAGAAAAGACAGTCCTAAATTTTCATCTGTCACAGATCAAGGAGCGAGATAATCAGTGGGTGATATACTGGAAAGTTCCTGTGAGCCAGAGGCTTGGATGTTTCTTTTCATTGCTTGGCTATTTTGCTGGTAATATACAGCAATCATAAGTTTGAAGCTGTTTTATTAAAACCTGTGAGCTTTTCTGGTTAAAGGGCTATTTTCCCGTATTCTTTAAAAAACTGAAGTCTATCCTCCGCACCCTGGGTTTTTCTATACTTGATGTGCATCAGCATATCAAAAGTAGTTATGTTTTGCAGTTCAAAAGTTTGGATTGAGGCAGGCCATAAATAGTTTGCTCGGAAACCAGTACCTCTTACTATCTCATGCACACATACAGGTGTGCAGGCAGTTTCCTGTGTGTACGACACACAGCTATTCCCAGCCAGACCTTCCAACAAAAACACAACTACAAGCCTGTCTGTGAAAGCTAAGCAGTAAGGAGGGATGGAGCCACACTGGGAACAAGTCTTTGTGAGCACCACCTTGCAGTGTGAGACCAGCTCTGCTGCAGATTCCCAGCGTGCTTGAGGAACTGGAAACGAGCCAGCAGCAAACATCTTTTGGGTTAATAACAATGGAAAGGGAGAGCTCCCTACCGGCTGCATACACAGAAGGACCAGGGAGCAGTGCTTTGTCGCTGCATCTTTAAACATCCACAGGAGCACTGCCAGTAGCTCTGGGAAGGGTCTGAACAGGCCATGCCTTGCTTACACCGGCTGGGGAACAGGAATTATGCCCTCCACGCAGAGGATGAGAGCTAGGCCAGAGGCCCTGAATATAAGCCTGGAATGTATTTATTGAGGGCAAGCAAGCTCAGCAGGGAATGATAAGTGTGTGCCTGCCCATCCTCAGCAGGAGAATGACATTTTGGAGGCAAATGAGGCGGGGACAAAGGAAGTAGGATGAGGAGTAATTACCACCAAGGACCACTCGGAACAGAATAGTGCTATTGGGTTACACATAAGCAGCATGCCCGGCATATCCTTCATCCAACAAAAGCAGCATTACCAGCCCCTCTTGTCATCACCTGCTTAAGTCAACTGCCGAACGGATACTATTAAAGCTTTAATCCATTACACATTTATGTTATGCCTGAGAAATTTATACCACAAGAAGCACTGAGCCCAGCAAGGGTCAAACCTGGGAGTTTTACACACTCCACCGATTATATTCACATACTCAGAAGAAACCATTTAGCTGAAGAAATTAATATGAAGGGGGCAGCAGCCAATCCCCAGCACAACTTGGCCAGGGTGGCTCCCAGAGCCTGGGAAAAAGACTCCATCAGTGGCTGTGATTCTACCAGTAAATGACTTCCATCTTCCCCTGGGAGTGGCACCATCTTGTTTTCTCTGTGTCTCTTTTTTCTCCATTTCAGATGCCAGCCTGTCTGGTGAACAGAACTGAATTCCTGCATGTTGGCTTTGCAAGATCTTCCATGTAAGAGCCCAGTGATGATTTCTAGGGCTTGTTTAATGGACCTATCAAGGGACAGTAATTTATCCCATTTTACTAGATTGAAGGGAAAGGCATTTACAGGCTGTCTGCCCACTAGGACAGGGTGTTGCAGGCAGCTGGCAGCATGAACAACAAATATTCAGAGTCCTTCCACTCAAAACATGAGCCTGACCTGAGGCAACACATGGGGATGATATGCTGTTCAGGAGATCAGATCTGTAGTGTGTGCTCTCAGATTTCTCACTCAGAACTAGTATCAGGCTTGCAGAATGCCTGCCGGGACTTGCATACATACACCAGCTGACTGCGGCTCCTCCCAGGCCAGCTGGGGCCCCGGAGTCCTGCCTTACGTGCTGGCATCCAAAACCAGCTCTGGGCTTAGCGTCCATAGGGTCTTCTCTATGCATCAAACTTTGCAAAGATCTTTTTATTCAACTCTCCCACTTGCAGGCATGCAAGGACAGAGGCTAATGTGAAAGGCTAATGTGGTACTGTACCCAAAATCTTCTCCTGCGGACCCACAGTCTCACTCATGCAACTCACTATAGAGTTGATTTCCACCTCTTGTTCCCTCAGTGTTACTCCTCCCTCTCATGAATTTGCAACACTGCCAACTCTTCCAATGCACAACCCAATTTTCCAGACACAGCCAATAAACCTCACCTCTGATCTGCCTCGCAGCTGTGCCTGGCACGCAGGCTCCAGCAGCAGGACCAGAGGCAGAGGGAGGTTTGCCAGCTTGCAGGAATCTACCCCAAAAGAGAAGTGCGAAGAGGCACACGTGTCCTTAGTGGCAGTTAGTGTTGCAGCTCTGCTCCAGCGCGCCTCCCCCTCATCACAGGACATGTCTAGCGAGAGGCATCTCCCTTTCCATGACCCATGTGGGACTATCTCGTGCATCAGGAAATGAAATACTTGTGAGGTCTGTTATAGATACACAGCCTGATTTCAATGAACTTTGTAAAGTAGGGCATAGGCAGGATAGGATGATGGAGGCTGCAAGTCTCTCAGACATTTTGAGTGGGGGCAGCTGGCTTTCACAGACAAGGTTTTCAGTGTTAAGGCAGGTAACTTGTAAGGTTTAAGATTAGAAATGTGTTTCTAGTAAAGTAAGAAGAAACTTTTTTCATGACACACTTGGTCTCTCAGGTGAATCTGCTGGCAAGTCCCCCAAGTGGAGATGCTTAAAACAAACCCACTGCAAAAGCAGGCTGAGAACAGCAACTAGCTCCTTAAAGGTCACTCCACAGTCATGAGACATTAATAATTTTCAGTCGCTGCAAAAACAGTCTGGATGCAGAGTGGTGATCTACAGCTGAATGCCAACCCCTAGACTAGACAGAGAGCATCTACCTAAGCCCTTCTGCCCTGCAAAGTCCAAAAGATTATCTCTAATATTTTCTTACAGATCAGTTCAAAACTTTGTTTCCCAGTGCATCTGACCTAAATCTTTAAAAAAATGGACCACTTAATACGTAAGACTGGGTGCAGTTCCAACCTGCAATAGACTATCTTACAGTTCTTGGTTGCAGGGTTTACTCAGCTAAATTTCCCTGGCAGAAGTAAATGTTGCAAGTAATTTTTTTGAAGTTTTTATTTGTGAACATTATTTTGTGGCTCCAACTGCTTTCTGCAAGATATTGAACTAATTCCAGTTTGGCTGAGTATTCCTTCTTAAATGCAACATCTGCTTTGTGCATCAGTTGAAAAATAGTTATCTGGGTGCAGGGTAGAATTCACCTCTCTACTGTGGTCCGAGAACCATTTAAATTCTGTTTTATAGAGGATGAACATCAGCCCACCCCCAAAGCAGATTTTACTTACAGACACGTGCCTCACACACGGGAATATTTGTCTCCATGGACCGATCATCTGAGTTTTCCACTGCAGGTCTCACCCCACTGGCACCAAGTCCCACAACCCATGTAAACACACGCATAATTTCCAGCATCTGAATAGCTCCATTAAAGTCCACTGGGCTTAAAGGCATTCACAAACATTTAAGTACATTGTTGGATCAGGGCCTAAAGTTACTCATGTCTTTTATTTATAAATGTTACCCTGGTCTGTAAAAGTGACATGTTTCTCTTAACAGGCTGTGATACCAGATATGCTCAGCTCATAGGTAAACATGCCTAAGTGCTCTACCACTGAACCTAGCAATGGAGTGGGGGGACTGTGGAGTTAGCATAGCTTGAAGCAAACTTTCTACCTTGCTGACCCTGGGCTGCACTGCAAGTTTCAATGTGAGGCTTGATTTCAGTGTCATTATTCATGCTTAGGGTTAAACACATGCTTAACTACCCTGCTAGGTCACAGTCTTAGTGTTGCTTTAGTTGTTTAATACTGTTTACACAGAGATATCTGGATCGAGTCTTAAAGCCGGAGAAGTTCAGTTCATTTTTGCTCAGTTCCTCTCTGAACTGACCTGGAAAATGTCATTCTGCAGAGATGTTCAGACCTGCCACATTCTGTCCTGTCCATCACAGAGGGCACTGGATCACAGAAAATGTAGGTTGGAAGGGACCTAAGGAGGTCTCTAGTCCAAACTTCCGCTGAAAGCAGGGACAGACATGAGGTCAGATGAGGTTCATCAGGACTTTATTCAGCTAGGTTTTGAAAGCCTCCAGTGATGGAGAATTGTACGACCTCACTGGGCAACCTGTTCCAATGCCTGACTGTCCTTACGGGGAAAGAGCTTTTCCTTATAGGCAGTCTGAACTTCTTTTGTTTCCATTTATGTCTTTTGTCCTCCTGCCTCACAGCACTGTGCAGAGCTCAGCTCCATCTTCTTCGTGATCTTTTTGTAAGTACTGGCAGGCTGATATTTGGTCTCCCTGCGGCTGCCTCTTCTGGCTGAACATGCCCCATTCCCTTAGTCTCTCCTCATAGGGCATGTGCTCCAGTTCTCTCACCATCTTGGAGGTCATCCAACTCACTCCATGTCATGTCCTGCATTAGGAGTTCAAGACTCCACACATATGGTCCAATGACTGCTGCATAAAAGGGGATAATCACTTCCCTCGATCAACTAGCTATGCTTTCGTTAATACAGCCCAGGATACTGTTGGCCACCTTTGCTGCCAGGACACACTGCTGGTTCATGTTCAGTTGCTGTCTACCAAAACCCTATCAGCAGGGCTGCTCCCCAGCCAGCCACTGCCCAGCCTGTGGTGTTGTTGCCAAAGGTTCTTCCTTTCCAGGTACAGGACTTGGCATTTGCCTTTGAATTTCAGTGAATTTGAATTTCACTAGGTTCCACTGTCTCTTCCCTCTAGCCTATTTAGGTGCCTCTGGATGGCAGTCCTGACCTAGAACTTGTGGACAAGTCCTGCCAGTTGGCTGCAATCTGTAAATGTGATGAGCAAGCAGTCCTTCACCTCCTCCAGGTTATTGATAAAGATGTTAAACAGGATAGGTCCCAGGACAGACCCTTGTGGTACTCCACTGACCTCGAGATCTGACCACAACTTTCTGAGCCCAATCACCCAACCACTTTTTACCCATCTGATTGTGCACCCATCCAGACCATGACATCCTACCATGGTGTGAAGTTTCTTGGATGTGTATTCACAGTGCATGGGATATCCCACAGTACCTGACCTTATGCACACTTTTACTTCATGATAATAACCATGGAGTAACAGACATACTGCATGTTCACATGAAGGCTGGACTCACAGTACCTTTTCCATGGAGTCAAACTAATTTGGATAGGCTGGCAATAAGCTTGTAAGCTCTTTAGTGAAGTTTTAACGATTCAGGTAATGAAAAGCCTGGCAGAGGGGATCTTTAGTCTGATAGGAACATTTTACAGAGCTTCTTGGCTGGGAATGGAAATTCAAATAAAATTCAAACAAGAAATAAAATATAGTTTTACAAGAGTGAAGCAATTAGGCCTGGAAACAGCTTAATGATGGACTGATGGATTCTCAGTCATTTGCAGCCCTTAAATCAAGGTATTTTTGTCTTCATAAATATATACTGTGACCCAGTCATAAGTTACAAGCACGATGCAGGAACGTTTACATGAAATTCTAAGCTAAATGTTCATAATGGTACCTTCTAGCCTTAAAATGATCTATTAGTACTTACACTAACAGTTAACACTGTAGGAAATCCTGCTCAGTTTCTAATATGTTGTGTTTATTTTCAAAACAAATGAAAGAATAACATTTTCATAGACTTCTTGAGATTCCATCGACCTATAATTGACTTTCCTTGCTTTCCATCTTTCCTTCCTTTCCATCGTTCACAGCTACCTACCACTAGGGATAGGAGTATTTATCTTCCACGGTTCATTTTAAATAGCTGCAGATATTGCTGCATTTGAAAAGCCACATCAAAATACTATGATAACATGAAAATGCTTTTTCTCTTTATAGGACTCATTAATTCTACCATCTTGAGCAGAGTTCTCACTCTGGGGTCTGTATAGTTTCACACAATCAGGTAAGGTAATCCACTCGCCTAAATGGATCATTCAATTAGGAAGGAGCCCTCAAGAATTCACTGTGAAGAGTAGTTTAACAGGTTGCATAGACACACCCTTTCCATCTTAAATTTCTACAGTTCTAACACTGAGTGGAGGCTGAATAATCTGCTTAAAAAGTAACATGCTAACATAATACAGACTCAAGTCAAATTTACTTTTTAGCTATATTGTCCTAGGGAAATTTTTTTTCTTATTCAGGGTCAAATTTTCATAAGAAATTAACATTCATTTTTTGCATTTAAAAAAAAAAGTCCTGGCATCCTGTACCAGAGGCTTTCACTGAAATTTGGCTATAAACAAACATTTTGGAAGCATTTTCCTCCCAGATAACAAATAGTAGGTTAGACAGCCTGCTGCAGAGATCGGGATTACAAAGACTCTTGAAAAAAAATTTTAAAATCATTACCTTTCAAGCACTTGTCCAAAACAATACAAATGACAAGGCTAAGGACACACTGAATGACAACAAAACAGGTATCAGGCAACAGAAAGTAAAGCCTGTCAGCCCTGCTAGTTTTGCATTTGTCCTTCCAAGTTCCAAACAGGTCAATGCATGTTTTACTTAAACAGTGACAAAAAAAGGAACCATCAGCCAGAAACCAAACTTGCTTTCACTCCTGTGGTCTTTTCCTTGCCTCCCCCAGCAATCTGTGGAGTATTTAGGTAAAACAACAGAGTACTGAATTAGAGGGAGCTGAGAGACAGAGTACCGAATGGTTTAGCTAGCACTCTAGTCTCTCTAGCCAGGCTTCTCAAAACTACTAGTTATTGTCATTAATGTGTCTGCACTCTACCATTTAACATGATACGTCTTTCCGGAGCACGGTCACACACGCACACAGACACTCCTGCCCACCAGCTACTCACCCAGGGGAAGCTTTTCCAGCAGATAAAGGTAACTCTGAAAAAAGTCATTTCGGATCGCCTTATGCAAGACGAAGGACATACTGTGCCGACAGAGTTCTTCATCTGTCTTGTGCCAGCGTGACTTAAAGGCCAAATGTGCTGCTTTATACGCCATGATGAAGAGGTTTTTTGCAAGGGTGGACAGTTGCTCTGGCTGGTGCTCTCTGGAGGACCTGTCCTTCCGAAGAGGCAGAGGCAGCGTCATTTAAATTGTGGCAATGTGCTGTCATTCTATATCGGGGTGTGTGTCTAGAGCAGTGCAGAGGGCGGAGGCGGGCGAGAGAGGAGTGAGAAATGCTGGCTGTTGGCACTGGCTCAGAGTAATCTCTGGAGTGTCGCCCTCTGAAACGAGCAGGTGCTGGAAAGTGATAAAAAACTCAACCAGGAAATTGCTTAGCCAGGGTAAAAGTATATCTACTCCAAGAAAGAGTGGCTTTAATTCAATTACACTTTTCCTAATCTATTCAGCCCTCACTTCAAAGGTACTAAGATATTATCCAGGATCGCCCATCTCCCTCTTTTCTATCTCACAGGGTGATTTTGTTTCTCTGTCCCTCCTTCGCTATTTGTTTTTCAGTCCGGGGCACTCAAGAGGAAGGCCAGGAGACAGAACATGGACATGCCTCTACACAAACTGTGTGTCCTAATAAACTGTGATTACAGCAAGCAAAGAGAAAGCAACACATTTAACTTCATGCTTTGTCACTGTGTACGGCAGGGCAAGCCACTCTCTATGCACTACCATCTGCCCGAGTTCATTTAATCTGTTTAAATGGTACAGACTATCTCATCAGCAGAGGCTAGCTGGAAGAAATTGCTGTCTGGGAACACAGGAATGGTAAAGCCAGGGAAGGGTAAGTGCTTTCTGCTTTAGCTAACAATACACAGAAGAACAAAAAGAGATAAACTGCCCATTAACAAGCTTAGACAAATCCATTGGCTGGAAAAGAGAAGGAGGTTCAGGCCACTACAGCATGCAAAATTCTAGAAGAAGAGGAGTAGGATGAGAAGCTGAAGTGCTTCTAGGATGGAGAATGCTAAGCTGCTGAAGGGGGCTGTATATCATAAGTATGTCCTATGCCAGAGGAGGATCAGGCCCTCAAGGGACGAGGCGAGAAAGATAGTGCTCCAAAACCTTGTTTGCCCCTTGGTAGTTCAAGGCACTCGGTGTGACACAGCTTCAAGCCTCCTGAGTTGCAAAGGTACTGGCAAGGGGATGGGGGCTTTGTAGTGACTGCACTGACCTCCACACATTGTGCCCATGAGGGTTTCCCTTTTCAAGCTGTTTATTCCAGCTGTCTGCAGCGTAAGCACACTATAACGCAGCAACACATGATCAGAAAGTTGGATGTTTTCAATACAAAAGGGCTGCCATATGTCCTGAGCAGTACTGCAACTCCCGACAAACATCTGATCAAGCTTCTGAGAGCAGAACAAAGACGACCTAGCCTCCACCAAGGAAAATCACTAGTAATTCGGCTACAAATGATGCTAAGCAGCATTTAGCAACGCATCAATTAAAGCATATTTTCCAACATGACCCGCTTCCTTGGAGCAGTCAATCTCTGTATGTCTGCTTTGACATTACTTATTAAAAGTATTTAGGGGCAAAATCATCCCTAGGTATAACTGCCTTTCTTGTTTCCCCAGCTACTATCCTGTACTACTCATTCTCACTTAACTGCATTGACATGCTGCTCCCCCAGCTGTTCCAGTCTACATGATCGTGCAAATGTGTTGGTGAACAGATCAGTGAATAAATCTTATTCAGATTTATTCACTTAATGGTACCTTCCCATTACCAATTACCCCAGCACATTGCCACAATTAGCAATTACCCTTCCCTGGCTTTACCATTCCTGT